TCGTGGAAGGCCACCGCATCACAATCAGTTGCGCTCGCTTGCCAGGCTGCGCTGAGCCGCACGGAGTGGTGCGGGGTTAGTTCGGGTTCGGGCAGGGCTGTCCAGCGCACTGGCACCAGCTCCCGAAACCTGAGGTAGGCCGTTACGGCTGTTCCCAAGTCATTCCAGGACGCGATGCAAGTCGTCTTCCACTAGGCCCGATGCGCATCGGCGGCGTATCTCCGACTCGGCTGGGAGGGGCGTTGCCCCCGCGTGGCCCCTTGGAGCCACCAGCCGCGGTGCCGAGGCCGAGGCCCACATAGCCATGTACAAGCGAAGGGCCGCCAGCTCGTGGCTCGGAAACCCGTTGCGCTCCATCCTTGGCAGGGTGCTGCGGGCCTTCTGGCCATCGGGGCCCAGCTCGGCGCTTGCCCCGCAGTGGTGCCCGGCAGCTGGCGGAGCACACGGTGGCGCCAGGTCCGCGCGCCCGCGTCGCCGCAGCGAAGGACACGTGCCGTGAGGGACGTGGGTACCAGATCGGGGATTTCTTCCCCTAGGCCTCCCAGGTGGGGTCCGGATAGATGGGGTCGGAGGATCGCGCCGCATCGCCGAATATCGCCGATGCGGCGCGATGCGGGGCACGTGTTCACCCACGCCGGGGGCGCCGAGGCATCGCCGATGTCGCCGACGCGTGGTCGGTGCATTGCCGATGCATCGCCGATGCATCGCCGATGCATTGTCGATGCATCGGCGATGCGGCACGATCCTTCGACCCCATCTACTCCGACCCCATCTGGGAGGCCTCTATTTTCCAAGACCCGCTCCTCACCCGAGCCGTGTTTTGACGGCCCCAGAGCCCGCACAGAGCCCAGGTCCCCCCCGAGGACGGCGAACAAATTCCAAGACTCTTTCTCTCAGTGAGATCCGCGCGCACGTGTGCAACGAGCTCGGCGATGCCGGGAGCCGGGCCTTCACCTACCCCAGCCTCGCGGAGGGCGCAAGCGGACTTGCCCGGGGAGACCGACTGAAAGAGTTGCCCGCCTGCCCACCGATGGACCGATGGGTATGTTGCACGACGTGGACCCCAGAGACTTGCGTCCACGAGGGGAGGAGGAGGAGGAGGAGGAGGAGGAGGAGGAGGACGATCAGGAAGAGGAGGAGGAGGAGCAGGATGAGGAGGAGGAGGAGCAGAATAAACCCGAGCTGCAATAAACCGGGGATGCAGAAGCGATGCTGCAATACACCCGCCCGTCCAAGTTCTTTCATCACACGCTCCTAGAAATCATCCTGTCACTACCTCCTTGAAATACCAGAACAGTTGGGCCTGCAATTTTGGTGAGGGCCCCGCTTCGAACATAAGTTGCCTTGTACCTTTCTGGCGCAGGGTCAGGAGCTTGAACAAACAATCATCATACAGTTCAACGAGTTGTCCAGCGAGATCCTCCTTTCGAAGGGCCGCCCCCCCATCCGTGTAACTGACCCATGTGGTCATGAACTTCGAGGAAGTCTTCAGCAGCAGCTCCATTTTGAAAAGGGGCCGCCATGGATCCGTGCAACGCTGTGTGCCACCATGCCATGTTGAACGGATCCATGGCGGCCCTGTTGAAAGAGAGCATTCGTCCACCATGCTAAAGGATGCGTTAAACAATCGAATGCGCGCGGCGCTGATGCGAGGGCCCCATGTTGAAAAGGAACCGCCCTCCATCCTCCCTGAGGCGACAGCATCGTTTTTGCAACGGCACTCCTTCCATCTTTGGCGCTGATGTAAGCTTTTAAGACGAACACGCATGGCGCGAAGGCAAACCTCCTTATTTAGAAAATGAGTACCCTCAATCAGTGAGACATCCGCAATTGTTTAATACGAATTCGCGCGGTGCTAAGGCGAAAGGTCACAGTTTGAAGCCGATCGCGCCCCGTCCACCCGCAAGATTGCTGCAACAAATTGAAATGAATGTGCACGGCGCTGACGCGAGAGCATCCTTTTGAAAGCGACCCATTTTCCACCCGCAAAGTGGTTGCCAACTTTGGGGACACATGCGCGAAAGCGCCAAGGCAAACACCAAATGTTGAAAAGGATCCGCCCTTCATCAGTGACACTGTCGCGCACTTTTGAGACGAATGCTCGCAATGTTAAGGCGAACGCAACATTGTGAAAACGACCCTGACCCCTCCACCAGTAAAATCACTGCAAAATTTTAGGACGAGTTTGGGCAGCGTTGATGCGAGAGCAACATTTTGAAAAGAATCCCCCCATCCGCGAAATTGTTGCAAACTTGTATTCAAATGCGCGCGGCGCCTTGGCAAGAGCCACATTTTGAAATTGACCTGTCATCCATCCGTTACACCGCTGCAAGTGTTTGAGACGAATGGACGCGGTGCTTAGGCGCTTCAGCGAACGCCATATGTTGGAAACCACTCCCCCTTTCCAACCGTGAAACTGTTGCAAAATGTAAGACGAATTTGCGCGGCGACGAGGCGACACTCACATTCCGAAAACGATTTCTTTCAGTCTCAGGGGTGCCCAGCCTGCCTTACCGACTGGGGGTGCGATAGGGATGAGTTATGCATAAGGAAGCGGGACTGGGGAGGCGGAGTAAGAGGATGAGTGTAAACCCAAGACGCATCAACGATGTTACAATAAACCTTCCCTGCAAGTTCCCTCCTCATAGGTCCCTACAACAGTTGTTTCTCAATGCGGGAAGTGGCCCATTAGAAGACAGCCGTCTGGGAATCCTCAACCGTGCCAAACACACAATGCCTGGGACTTCAGCGCCGCGGATAGACATGATTGCCGCGCCCTGACAATCTTAAATCGCGCCGGAACGCCATTCGTGGGACTTCAACAACGCGAATCAACGTGAGTGTTACGCCCCGACAGTCCCAAATCGTGCCAGAAAACCAGCCGTGGCACTTCAACCATGTGAACCCGTTAAAGTGTCGCAAATTTTTGATACGAATGTGCGCGGCGCTAGGTCGAGAAGCACACTCGGAAAACCACATATTTGTCATGAGTGAAGCTGTTGCGAACTTTTGATACGAATGCGCGCGGCGCTAAGGCCTAAGGCAGGAGCCACATGCTGAAAACCACCGGTCCCCCATCCTTCCAGCCGGAGCGAACTTTTGAGACGAGTGTGCGTGGCGCTAAGGCGAGGGGCGCATCTTGAAAACGACCCGACCTCCATCCCCGAGGCTGCTGCGGTTTGGGAGGGCGAACGTGCGCGGCCCCGAGGCGAGCGCAACACTTCGAAGACGACCCGCCTTCCATCGGTGAAGCTGTTGCAGCTGGCAGGCGTCAAGGTCATAGATTTAAGTCGGCCCTGTCCCTCTACAGGAGGAACATCCGAAAATAGTCAAACATAATCTAGATATTATGTTTGGGCAATTTTCAAAGATTGTCTGATGATTTGTATTCTTCGTTCAAAGTCCCCCTGTAGGAGGACATGCCCGACCGAATCATATATGGAGACGAAGTCTCAGCCGAAAGTCTCGGCCCGCACTACAGACACGTCTGGGTTGGCGCCAGGGAGGAAAGGATGGAAGAGGAAGACGAGGAACAGGAGGACACCATCGAAGCGATCGAGGACACGTTGTGAGCCGCGGGGGGCGAAGGGCGAGATGTTCGCGGCGCGCGACGAGGACGAGGAGGACCAGGACAATGAGTGCGAGGAAGACAAAGGTCTAGGACGAGAAAGGGGCGAAAAGGGCGAACACAAGGAGGAAGAGGACGGAGGGAGGGAGGGAGAGTGGGAGGGAGGGAGGGAGGGAGGAAGGGAGAGATGATGATGAGGAGGAGGAGGAGGAGGAAGAGGACAAGGAGGAGGAGGACGAGCTCCATTTTGAAATGGAGCTGCCTTCCATCCTTGCAGCTAGTGTTTAAAATAATGTGCGCGGCGCTGATTCGAGAGCCCCATGTTGAAAAGGAACCACGCTCCATCCGTGAAGCTAATGCAAGATTTTGAAACTACTGTGCGCGGCGCTGAGGCGAGTGAACCACATTCTGAAAACGACCCCCCTTACACCTGCGAGTCTGCTGCACAAGTCTTCTGACGAGTGCGCTCGGCGCTCAGACAATAGCCCTACAAAATATCCGACCTCCATCCGTGACAATGCTGTAAACTTGTAAGGCGAATGCGCGCGCTGCAAAGGCGAGAGCCACAGCTTGACATCGACCCATTCCACCCGTGAAGCTGGCGTAAACCGTCAAAACGAGTGTGCGTGATGCGAAGGCAAGTGGCACATTCTGAAAAAGGGAACTCTTTCCATCAGCGAATTAGTGGCAGACTTTTACGGCGACGAAAACGCACAGCGCCGAGGCAAGAACCGCATTTTGAAAAGGAGTCGCCCTTCATCAGTGAAACTGTCGTGCACTTTTAAGACGAACGCGCGCGGCGCTAGGGCGTTGCCAAGTTTGGGCTTCAGTATCGCCAGCGGTGAGGAAGTCTCAGGCGAGTCGCCACCCGCCTTGCCGTCACGCCTGGGGGTACGACAGGGAGGAGTTACTTTTAAGGAACAGGGACTGAGGAGTAGGAGGAGGAGGAGGACGACGACGACGAGGATGAAGACGAGGGAGGACGAGGATGAGGACGGGGGAGGGGGAGAAGAAGGGGAGGGAGGAGGAGGGCGGCGAGAAAGAGACGAGGCACGATGCGATCGAGGAGGGCGACGACGATGGCGACGATGCTGATGACGAGCCTCGAGCTGGACGAGGAGGAGGGCTTGAAGGTGGGTGTAGGGGGTTCTGGGCTTTTGGAGTGGGAAAGGAGGTCGGCGACGAGTCTTCAGGAGGAGGAGGAGGAGGAGGAGGAGGAGGAGGAGGAGGAATAGCAGGAGGATGCTGGCGGGGGAGCGAGAAAGGGGAGGAGTGCGGATGACCATGACGAGTCAGGGAGTAGAGGGGTGTGGAGGAGGAGGGGAGGAGAAGCATGCCATGGGAGGAGTGGGACGGCGGATGAGCATGGACGAGGGGGAGGAGGTGAAGGTGTTGAAGGCAAGCAAATGGAAGAGGACCGTGCCGATACCAGGCTGGGAACCACGAGGAGGAGGACGAGGCCTCGGACTTCGAAACCGTGGACCGCCGCCGCGGTCGCGCCTCCGCGCAGCGTCGACGGCACCAGTAGCATGTCGATTGGCGTTTCTGCAGCCGTTATCGTTGTAGCTGTGCAGTCTGGCAGGTGGGGCGTTCCAGAAGAGTTTTGCTTTCGAGGGATCGATCAAGTTACTTCTTCTACGGCGGAAGCCGACGAAAGTGACGCAATGTTGGATCTGGTGGCGGAAGCACCAGATGAGCTCCCAAGGGATGGCATCACGCTTAAGTTAAGGTTTTTCGGAGCAGGCCAGCTGTTCCGTACACTCGCGTTGCTCAAGGAGCAGTTTGGGTTAGTTCGTGGTCTCGAGTATTAGCGTTGTTCCCAACCATCCAGTGGTATTGGGTCCTCGTTTTGAAGAGACAGCGCCCCGCGTTCCTCCTCTCCTCTCCTCTCATCTCCTCCTCCCCCATCCTCCCTCCCCCTCTCCTCGCCTCTGCTCTTCGCATGTCCCTGTTTTGCCTCACCCCCTACACGGCTTCGTGGCCCCACTCCATCGAAGGGCCCAGTGGCAGGGTGGTCCGCATGCGCCCGCACTCCCCTTACACGGTTCGTGGCCCCACAGGGAGCTCCACCGAGGGCCCTAGTGGCAGGGTCCGCATGCGCCCGACGCCCATGCCGGCACACCCCTCACATGGCTCGTGGCCCCATAGGGGGTTCCACCGACGGCCCCAGTGGCAGGGTCTGCATGCACCCGACGCCCATTTCGGCAGACCCCTCACACGGTTCGTGGCCCCATAGGCCCATTTTGGCACACCCTTCACACGGCTCGTGGCCCCATAGGGAGCTCCACCGAAAGAGGTATCCACATCGCGGCATTCACGACGGCGTAATTATGGTTGGATCCTTCGCAAAGATAATTGTTCTGTGTCGGGGCGTTTGGGCGCAATGGTGGGTGGCAGTCCTGCCATGTATTGGGTAGCGGCTCGAGTACGTTAAGTAACATATCTTTCTCCACGAAGATTTGGACATTGATTTGCGTACGCAGGTACGTGATCGGGCTTGGGCCAGGGGCAGCATCAATCACGCTGCACAAACAACGAATGTCTTCATTGTGCCGCCAGCTAGGTTATAGCCAAGCATTCAGCACAAAAGCACACCACCGTGCAGCTGGCCCACGGGCGTTCACCGCTTTCCCCGACGTGTCCCTGTACAGTCCCACAGCGCCCTGCAAGGGTTGCTTCGACAGATTGGTGTGTCCGTTCATTCGTGCTCAAACACTGGGCTCGATCGTGCTCGCCGCGCTGGCGAACACTCGTTCCTCGTCAGTTGCACAAGCCATGTGCACAAGTTTGCCCCCGTGGTGCTCGCCCTGAGCCTCGAATACAGTCGGGGCCCTGAAGAAGGAACCCTTTTCGTTGGGGAGGGGCTCCGTGTTCCTTAAGTGTTTCGCAGCTTGCCTCAGGTTTTCCTCATGTTTTCGATCGGAAATCGAAGTTTAACGTATGGGAAAAAAGGGGCCTCGTTCCTTATTTTGGGTTCTTTAGATCAAGGCCCCGACTGTATTGGCATAGCTGTTGCACGCGAAGGTTTGCCACGCACTGTTGTCGAGACCACCAGTGCACATGAATGTGCATGCTGCTGGGCTCGGCACAGCGCGCACCATCTCGTAATAGCGGGCTGCTGCAGTGCGTGTACACGAACCTTTTTGGGAAGTGCGGACGTGCGCAAAAGAGTGTGCAAGATTCCATATCACCGATCCCCTGGCCGCCGCATCCCGCGCCACATGCAGTCAATCCTTTAGCATTGCCATTACAGGGCAAGTGCACATGACTAGGCTTCAGTATCCGAGTTGGGGCTGCCCTTGGCTGTCCGAGCATATCCGATCATTGCGCATCCGTTGTCGTTGAGACCAACTTGGCACGAGCGAGTGCTGAACAATTGGCTACGTGTAGATTCCAGTAGATCCTGAGCAGGTGATCTGCTCAAAAACATGTGACGTCGGCACTCGCAAGGTTGCCTTCTTTATGGGTGGTCGCCGTGTTCCCTAGCACGGCTCTGATGAATTGAAACATCGTACGAGTGTGTTGACCACTGCTGTTGTAACTACGTCATGTTGCGCCGGGGGCAATGGCTCGTGGAATGCGTCTCCAGAACATGGCGCGCACGTACTTTCCATCAACGCGTGACCGCTTCTGCCTCTCTTTCTCTCACTGTGTTTGCACATGTCTGTGTGTATACCTCTCTGTGGCTGCATCAGTGTGTTACTGCCTTTGTGTTGAAATATGTCTGGTCATGCACAGCACGTCAATTGTACATATTCCCAGGAGGTATCGAATGGTATTGTTTTCGAAGCAACTTGCAATCACGATGATGATAAGCAAGGCGTATCCGATAGAGTAGGTTGCACAGAGGGTGGAATAGAGGATATGCGATTTGCCATATGCGCCTCCTGGCTCTGTTTGTTGTGTTGTGTCCTGGACAATGGCACTAGCCACGCCGCATACCTGACGTATGTGAAAACTCGGCATTCGATTGCGCATACACCACGATGCTGCATTCAATTTGCAAGTTTGGCAAAGCTGTGTAGGCTGTGTAGCTGCAATGTCCCCTGCCGGAGACAACAACATGTCCCTTGCGGGGAAAACTAGTTTCCACACGCGGACTATTCTGCGCATTAGCAGAGAGGATCAGTCTTGCAATGCAAAGGGCCGCGGAAGCTCAGAACAGGAGGGCTAGAACATTAATGCGAAGCACATGTTTTCTGTGCGCGTAGGTGTGGGTGATTCTTCGTTTGCTCATGAGCGTGGTTGTCGTTTGCATGCGCGTGTGAGTGAACCGATTGTATGTGCGTACGTGTGTCGCAGCTCTGGCGCTCGAGCCTCCCTGCCTCTGCTCGGGCGAAGAAGACCATACACACGCACCGATCCTGGCAGGGCCCATCCTTGGCCCAGGATCGGTGCATGTGCCTTCCTGGCCAAGGTCGGAGGGCGTACGCACCGATCCTGGGCTCGGGATGGGCCTGGCCAGAATCGGTGTATGTGCATACAGTCGGGGCCCTGAAGAAGGAACCCTTTTGGTTGGGGAGGGGCTCCGCGTTCCTTAAGTGTTTCACAGCTTGTCTTGGGTTTTCCTTAGGTTTTCGATGGGAAATCGAAGTTCAACTTATGGGAAGAAGGTGCCTCGTTCCTTATTTAGGGTTCCTTAGGTCAACGCCCCGACTGTAGTTCTTCTTCCTCTATCTGCGCGCCCGTGTGGAGTCCTTCCCCTGCCGCGTGCGAAAGCGAGAGCGTGTGCGCGTACCTGTGCGTGTGCGCGCGTGGCTCACAGAAGCGCTGGCGTCTCGCAGGCCCGCTGCCGAGACGAGCCTCAGATCTGCCCTCCCCCCATTTCTCCTCCACCTCCTCCTCCTCCTCCTCCTCCTCCTCCTCCTCGTACTCCTCCTCCTCCTCCTCCTCCCCTCCTCCTCCTCCTCCTCCTCCTCCTCCTCCGCCTCCCGCCTCCTCCTCCTCCTCCTCCTCCTCCTCCTCCCTCCTCCTCCTCCTCCTCCTCCTCCTCCTCCCCTCCCCCTCCCCCTCCCCCTCCCCCGCCTCCTCGCCGCCAGCGGGATGGGGACGTGCTGCTCCGCGGCGGGAGGAGCGGCGATCGCCTCGGAGCACGACGGGCATTCTCCAGGCGTGGCGGTGCGGAAGCTGCCCAGCCTCATGCCCCGCAGGGACGTGAAGGAGGGCGGCATCGGCCGCGCCCAGTTCATCCTCGCGCGCTCCGGCAAGGTCCTGGACGCGTACGCGATGGACAAGCAGAAGCTGGGCGAGGGCAGCTACGGCTCCGTCCGCCGCGCCACGCACAGAGCCACCGGGTCGGTGCGCGCCATCAAGACGATCCCCAGGGGGAAGCTGCGGAATCACGCGGCGCGCACGGGGTGGTGGGCACGCGGCGGGGCGGCCTCCCAAAGGGCGTGGCGCTTCTCAGGAGGCCGGGGGCCATCGCAGTAAGGGCCCGGGGGCCCAGGGGCTTCCTGGGCCTGTCCCTCTACAGGAGGAGTATTCAAAAATAGTCAAAAAAATAGTCTGGGGATTATTTTTCCCCAAACAGCTTGCTGAACGGGGTGCTGTTGTGGTAGAAACTAACTCCGGCCGAGGGAACGCGGAGCAGAGACATCCTCACAACAATTTTATGGTTTTGGCCGTTTCGCTTGAGACATCCTCACAGCTCTCGTTTCTGAGTTGGCCGGGATTGGCCGTTTCGCCTGAGACATCCTTGAAAAGTTGCGCTCCGGGACGCCGCGCGAGAGGTGGTCCGGGCCGTTTCGCTTGAGACATCCTCGAAACTCTGAGCCCCGAGGTGCCGTGCGAGAGGTGGTCTGGGCCGTTTCGCCTGAGACATCCTCGAAACTCTGAGCTCTGCGATGCCTTGCGCGAGGTGGTCCGGCCCGTTTCGCCTGAGACATCCTCGAAACTCTGACTTCGGAGATGCCGCGCGAGAGGTGGTCCGGCCCGTTTCGCCTGAGACATCCTCGAACTTCTGAGCTCTGAGATGCCCTGCGCGAGGTGGTCCGGCCCGTCTCGCCTGAGACATCCTTGCAACTCTGAGCTCTGAGATGCCGTGCGCAAGGTGGTCCGGCCTGTTTCGCACAAGACATTCTCGCAACTCTGAGCTCTCAGATGCTGCGCAAGAAGTGGTCCAGCCTGGGGGCCCAGAAGACCACATGTTACATATCCTCCATGGGACCCTGCGAGCCTCAGGAGGCCCCAGAGAGGTCCAGGAGGCCGCAGGACGCCCAGGACAGGCCCCAGGGGCCCCCAGGAGATTCCCAGGAGGCTCCCAGGAGGCCCCAGGAGGCCGCCTATCAGAACGTGTCAAGTTAATACACATCCGGTGTCGATTCGTTGATTTTTCCTGCTCTTGTGCCCCCCCCTCCATTTTGAGGGGCCCAAGCGGCCACAGGTTAGATATCCCCCCTGGGAGCCCAAGAGGCTTCAGGAAACCCCAGGTGGAGTTCAGGAGGCCACAGGAGGCCCAGGAGGAAGCTCCAGGAGGTCCCCAGGAGGCACCAGGAGGCACCAGGAGGCCCCCGCAACTCGGAGCTCTGAGACGCCGCGCTCGAGGTGGTCCGGCCCGTTTCGCCTGAGACTTCCTCGCACCACGTTTCGCCCGAGACATCGTCGCAACTCTGGGGTCCGAGATGCCGCGCGCGAGGTGGTCCAGCTCGTTACGCTGGAGACATCCTCGCAACTCTAGGCTCCGAGATGCCGTTCGGGATGAAGAGGAGGTGGAGGAGGAGGAGGAGGAGGAGGAGGAGGAGGAGGAGGAGGAGGAGGAGATGGAAGGGAGAAGGAGGAGGCGGATGATGTGCATGAGGGAGCAGGCAGGAGGAGGGGGAGGCCCCAGAGAGCTCCAGGAGGCCGCAGGACGCCCAGGACAGGCCCCAGGGGTCCCCAGGAGATTCCTAGGAGGCTCCCAGGAGGCCCCAGGAGGCCGCCTATCAGAACGTGTCAAGTTAATACACATCCGGTGTCGATTCGTTGATTCTTCCTGCTCTTGTGCCCCCCCCTCCATTTGGAGAGGCCCAAACGGCCACAGGTTAGATATCCCCCTGGGAGCCCCAAGAGGCTTCAGGAAACCCCAGGTGGAGTTCAGGAGGCCACAGGAGGCCCAGGAGGAAGCCCCAGGAGGTCCCCAGGAGGCCCCAGGAGGCACCAGGAGGCCCCCGCAACTCGGAGCTCTGAGACGCCGCGCTCGAGGTGGTCCGGCCCGTTTCGCCTGAGACTTCCTCGCAGCACGTTTGCCCGAGAAATCGTCGCAACTCTGGGGTCCGAGATGCCGCGCGCGAGGTGGTCCAGCCCGTTACGCTGGAGACATCCTCGCAACTCTAGGCTCCGAGATGCCGTTCGGGATGAAGAGGAGGTCGAGGAGGAGGAGGAGGAGGAGGAGGAGAAGGAGAAGGAGATGGAAGGGAGAAGGAGGAGGCGGATGATGTGCATGAGGGAGCAGGCAGGAGGAGGGGGAGGAGGAGGAGAAGGAGGAGGAGGAGGAGGGAGAAGGAAGGGAGTTGCAGGAGAGGACCTAACGGGAAGCGAGTGCGATGTGGACTTGTCAAAACGTGTGCGAAAGATTGTCCGGCCCGTTTCGTTTGAGACATCCTTTCAATACTGAGCTCCAAGATGTCGCTCGCGAGGTGGTCCGGCCCGTTTCGATTGAGCCATCCTCGCAATGCGAGGCTCGAAGATGTTGCGCGCGAGATGGTCTGGCCCACTCTGCCTGAGACGTTTCGTAGCACAGGAGCTCCAATCACAACCTCTCTCATTCCTTCTCCCGCCTCCCTCTTCCCACTTCCCGCCTGGTTCCTCTTCCCTCCTCCCTCCTCCCGCCTCCCGCCTCCCGCTGCTGCGCCTCTGCCTCCGCCTCCCCGTCCCCGCCGTCGTCGTTTCTGCCGCCTCAGCATCCGTCATGCGCGCACTGCCTTCCGCCCTCCCCAGACATCCGACGTCACGATTTTTCTTTTGAGACGTGCGCCGCGTACCTCTCGATATCATCCCCGAGGGAACCATCACGACATGCCCCCCCGCTTCCGCGCCCTCCCCCGCTTCCTCTTAAAGTTGCTTCTGAGTTCACAGCATGGCAGTGGAGCCTCTCACAGTGCCGACCCGACAGCTTACTCGTCGACCAGGTGCGATCTGGGACATCCTCGCAACTCTGGGTTCTGAGACAGGGTTCCCCAAACAGGATTTTTATATTCCTTTCAGCGACGTCTCAAAACGTGCCGGAGGAGGAGGAGGAGGAGGAGGAGGAGGAGGAGGAGGAGGAGGAGGGAGCAGGCAGGAGTAGGAGGAGGACGAGAAGGAGGAGGAGGAGGAGGAGGAGGAGGAGGAGGGATGAGGAATGGAGTTGCACGAGAGGGCTTAACGGGAGGCGAGAGGTAGGACTGCCCGTTTCGCTTGGGGCATCCTTCCAATACTGAGTGAGCTCCGAGATGCCGCACGCGAGGTGGTCCAGCCCGTTTCTCCCCAGCCATCCTCACAATGCGAAGCTCCGAGATGCCGCCATGCGCGCCCTGCCTTCCGCCCTCCGCAGACATCCGACGTCACGATTTTTGTTTCGAGACGTGCGCCCGCGGACCTCTCGATCCCGTCCCCGGGACTGGTTCTTCGTCAGGGTTCGTCGAGATGCTGCGCACGAGATGGTGTGCCCCGTTCTGCCTGAAACCTCTCTCATTCCTCCCACCTCCCTCCTCTTGCCTCCCGCCTGCCTCCTCTTCCCTCCTTCCTCCTCATGCCTCTCGCCTTTCGCTGCTGTGCCTCTGCCTCCGCCTCCCCGTTGCCGTCTCCGTCATTTTGCCGCCTCAGCATCCGCCATGCGCGCCTTGCCTCCCGCCATCCCCAGACATCCGACGTCCAGATGTTTGTTTCGAGACGTGCGTCCGCGGACCTCTCGATCTTATCCCAGGGACTGCTTTTTCCCCAAACAGCTTGCTGAACGGGGTGCTGTTGTGATAGAAGCTAACTCTGGCCGAGGGAAGTCGGAGCAGAGCGAGACATCCTCGCAACTCTGGGCTCCGAGATGCCGTTCGGGATGAAGAGGAGGTGGAGGAGGAGGAGGAGGAGGAGGAGGAGGAGGAGGAGGCATGTTTTAACATGCCATGCCAGCCCGCACTGGACGGGCACGCAATCGACCTTGGAAACAGCAGTGGGTCTAAAAACCTTGTTTGGGGATACTGCACTCCGGCTATAATTGGACCATTTTTGCATGTTTTTGGGGTACCTTTTATTTTCCGTCGAGAATCCCCCTGCAGGGGGACAGGCCCGACTGAAGCCCTCGCAGAAGCCTCCCCCCCACGCCTTCTCAGAGGTCCCCCCCGCCTCGCGCCGCCCCCGCGCCGCGCGCCGCCGTGGCATGCGGATCGCGTCAAGAGGGAGATCGCCATCCTGAAGATGATGGACCACCCCGGCATCATCAAGCTCTACGAGACGTTCGAGGATCGAAGGAGAAGGAACGCCATAAATCAGAGCGTGAATTGCCTACCCCGCTCTCGCTTCCAGGCAGAACCAAGTCATGCCACGCGCCTCCTCGTCAAGCGACCTGACCAGCACAGGCCGTAGTTTGGCATCGCTTGGGATCTCTTGGAAGCGAGGGTGGTCAAAAGCGAGGTAGGTTTGTTTTCCCCTTAATAAGCGTGCACATCTGGCGCTCCGCGCAGATTTCTTGGATCCGCGCTGGGCCCCCCTGGCGGCGCTTCCGGCGCCGCCCCTGGCGCGCTCCGCGCGCCAGGGAGGGGTGCCCAGCGCGGATCCAAGAAATCCGCGCGGAGCGCCAAAAGTCTATGTTCCTGGCGTTTTCTCCATCTTCGGAAGGACAGTCGGAACATCTACCTGTCCATGGAGCTCTGCAGCGGAGGGGAGCTCTTCGAGCGCATCGTGCTCGACGGGCGCTTCTCGGAGCCCCAGGCGTTAAGTCGGGCCTGTCCCTCGACGGGAGGAATATCCAAAAATTATAGCCAGAGTGCAGTCTCCCCAAACAGGGTTTTTTTAACCCACTGCGGTTTCCAAGGTCGATTGCGTGCCCGTCCAGTGCGGGCTGGCATGGCATGTTAGAACATGACAATGATGGCATGATGTTTGCACATGAGATGTTAGCATATGATCACATGATGGCTGCTCCCTTATCCACATCCTCCTCCTCCTTCTCCCTTCCATCTCCTTCTCCTCCTCCTCCTCCTCCTCCTCCTCCTCCACCTCCCCTTCATCCCGAACGGCATTTCGGAGCCCAGAGTTGCGAGGATGTCTCCAGCGTAACGGGCTGGACCACCTCGCGCGCGGCATCTCGGACCCCAGAGTTGCGACGATGTCTCGGGCGAAACGTGCTGCAAGGAAGTCTCAGGCGAAACGGGCTGGACCACCTCGAGCGCGAGTTGCGGGGGCCTCCTGGGGCCTCCTGGGGACCTCCTGGGGACCTCCTGGAGCTTCCTCCTGGGCCTCCTGTGGCCTCCTGGACCCCACCTGGGGCTTCCTGAAGCCTCTTGGGGCTCCCGGGGGGGGAAATCTTACAGGTGGCCGTCTGGGCCCCCCAAAATGCGGGGGGGGGCACAAGAGCAGGAAAAATCAATGAATCGACACCGGATATCGTATTAACTTGACACGTTCTGATAGGGGGCCTCCCTCCTGCCTGGGGACCCCTGGGGCCTGTCCTGGGCGTCCTGCGGCCTCCTGAAGCTTCTGGGGCCTCCTGGGGCTCTATGTAACATGTGGTCTTCTGGGGCTGGACCACCTCTTGCGCGGCATCTGGGAGCGGCCTCCTGTCTCTGGGGCCTCCTGGGAGCTCCCACCCCTGGGGCCTGTCCTGGGCGTCCTGCGGCCTCCTGAAGCTCTCTGGGGCCTCCTGGGGCTCCCAGGGTATATGTAACATGTGGTCTTCTGGGCCCCCAGGCTGGACCACCTCTTGCGCGGCATCTGGGAGCTCAGAGTTGCGAGAATGTCTTGTGCGAAACGGGCCGGACCACCTTGCGCACGGCATCTCAGAGCTCAGAGTTGCGAGGATGTCTCAGGCGAGACGAGCCGGACCACCTTGCGCAGGGCATCTCAGAGCTCAGAGTTGCGAGGATGTCTCAGGCGAAACGGGCTGGACCACGTCGCGCGCGGCATCTCCGAGGTCAGAGTTGCGAGGATGTCTCAGGCGAAATGGGCTGGACCACCTCTTGCGCGGCACCTGGGAGCTCAGAGTTTGGAGGATGTCTCAGGCGAAACGGGCCAGACCAACTCGCGCGCGGCATCTCAGAGCTCAGAGTTTCGAGAACGTCTCAAACGAAACGGGCCAGACCACCTCTCGCGCGGCATCTCAGAATGCAAAAGTGCGAGGATGTCTCAAGTGAAAAGGGCCAGACCACCCCTTGAGCGGCATCTCGGGGCTCAGAGTTTGGAGGATGTCTCAAGCGAAAAGGGCCGGACCACCTCTCGCGCGGCATCAGAGAGCGCAGAGTTTGGAGGATGTCTCAGGCAAAACGGGCAGGACCACCTCGTGCACGGCATATCAGGGCTCAGAGTTTGGAGGATGTCTCAGGCGAGACGGGCCGGACCACCTCTTGCGCGGCATCTCGGGGCCCAGAGTTTCGAGGATGTCTCAGGCGAAATGGGCTGGACCACCTCGTACGCGGCATCTCAGAATTCAGAGTTGCGAGGATCTCTTAGGCGAAACGCGCCGGACCACCTTGCGCACGGCATCTCAGAGCTGAGAGTTTGGAGGATGTCTCAGGCGATACAGGCCTGACCACCTCTCGCGCGGCATCTGGGAGCTCAGAGTTTGGAGGATGTCTCAGGCGAAATGGGCTGGACCACCTCTCGCGCGGCATCTGGGAGCTCAGAGTTTCGAGGATGTCTCAAGCGAAATGGGCCGGACCACCTCTTGCGCGACATCTAGGAACTCAGAGTTTGGAGGATGTCTCAGGCGAAACGGTCAATCCTGGCCAACTCATAAACGAGAGTTGTGAGGATGTCTCAAGCGAAACGGCCCAGACCATCAGATTTTTGTGAGGATGTCTCGCTCCCCTTTTCATCGGCCGGAGTTAGCTTCTATCACAACAGCACCCCGTTCAGCAAGCTGTTTGGGGAAAAATAATAAAACAAATATAGTCGGGGGACGATCTGTTGATCTTTTTGGGACTATTGTCGGGCATGTCTTAATATTTGTTTCATTTGTCGTCCAAAATCTCCCTGTAGGAGGACGGGCCCGACTTGACCCAGGCGGCGGCTGTGATGCAGCAGGTGCTCCGGGCGGTCTGAGATTCTGGACGAAGAATGAAAAATACTAAACCATGCCCCAACATAGCCAAAAAACAATCAACACATCGTCCCCCGACTATTTCTTTACTATCTTTGAAGATTCCTCCTGGTAGAGGGACGGGCCCGACTTGGCCCAGGCGGCGGCTGTGATGCAGCAGGTGCTGCGGGCGGTCTGCTACGTGCACGGGCAGGGCGTAGCCGGCGGCCTGCGGCAGAGTCCCGCCGCCGAGCCAGCGCGGCGTGCTCGGCGGCCCTTCCACGGGCCAGCCAGCCACCGCTGGGGGAGCGGTGGTCCTCACCCCCCCGGGGGGGCCCATCGATTTCGACAACCCTCTCGAGAGATTTGGTGGACCCCAAACGTGGTGGTGAGAACACCCGGTGGTGAGTTTTGGGCAATTTTGGTAAAGGTTTTCGAGCGCTGGCTGGCCCAGGAAACGCAAAACCTCGTGGCGACCGCGTGCCCCCAAACCCGTTGGTGACCCAGAATTATTTCTTTGGGGAATCGGGGTCACCACCAGGTGTCTCACCACCTGGTTTGGAGACCACCAAGAGATCGTCGATGCGATGGGTTCCCCCAGGGGGGTAAGGACCACAGCTCCCCCAGTTATGGCTGGTCGGTGACAGGTGTCGCCTGTGGCCCGTCCGACGTTTCCAGCCCATCGTGCATTGCCGTGCTTCTCTTAAGTTGGGCATGTCCCCCTACAGGGGGATTTTCGACGAAACATTAAAATACCCCAAAAGTACCCCAAAAAGGTAAAACACATATTCAAAAAATCGTCCCCATATTATTTTTGCACATGTTTGGAATATTTGCGGGGTACCTTTTTTTTTTCGTCGAAAATCCCCCTGTGGGGGGACAGGCCCGACTTAATGCTTCTCGCATCAAGCGCACGCCGATGAGGCGAGAGAAGGACCCGGAGACGATGCTCACGGTGAAGGCGATGACGGCGGTGATGGTGACGGTGATGGTGACGATGGTGATGAGGATGCGGGTGCGGATGATGACGAGGATGAGGATGATATTGAGGATGAGGGTGATTATGAGGATGAGGTTGATGTTGCTGACGATGATGACGATGATGATGATGATGATGATGATGATGATGATGATGATGATGATGATGATGATGGTGATGGTGATGGTGATGGTGATGGTGATGATGATGATGATGGTGGTGATGATGGTGGCGCTGATGATGATGGTGATGGTGAAGGTGATGGTGATGGTGCTGGTGATGGTGATGATGTTGAAGACGAGGACGGTGGTGGGGATGATGATACTCCTTGTGAAGATAAAGACGACGAGAAGAGGAGGAGGAGGAGGAGGAGGAGGAGGAGGAGGAGGAAGCGAGAGAGAAGCGTCACACGTGACACCTTTCGTCTTTACTTCTCGGCGAGCCCTCATGAACACTATTTGGGCTGTCTCGGTGCTGCCCTGGGCTCCTGTGGGGCAGTTTGGGGGGTCCCTTGAGGCCCTCTGGGGCCGTTTTTTGGCCGTCTTGGGGCTCTCTTAGGGCCCTCGTGGCTGTCGGGGGGGGTCTCTGGGGCCGTCGTGAGGCCGTCGTGAGGCCGTCGCGCGCCGTCCATGAGTCATCTTAGGCCGTCTCGGGTCCCTCTGGAGGTCCCCTTAGGCCAGCTTGAGGTTCTCTTGGGTTCGTCGTGGGCCTTCTGGGGCCCTCTCGGGCGGTCTTCAGGCCGTCTCGGAGGCCTCTCGGGCTCTCTTGAGGCCGCCTTGGGTCGTCGTAAGACGATCTTGGGCTCTCTTGAGGCCGCCTTGAGCCGACGGAATGCCGCGAAGGCGAAACAGTGTTTAACACCGAATGAGAATCAATGATTTCGGCTTCTTCGGACCCACCTCGGAATTTTCTTGGAGCCGTCTTGAAAGCCTCGTGGGCAGTCCTGAAGCCATTTTGGACTGTTTTGGGCCAGCATAGGTCGTCTTGGAGACATCTTGGGCCATCTTGGCGGCCTTGGTGGCCTACCTGGGCCATCTTGGAAGCCATCTTGGTCGTCTTCGACTCATTCGAGTGCGCCAGGGACGTGTCTGGGCGCTGACAGCGCCTCAGGAAGGGGGGGGATGTGCGCTTCGAGAGGGGGGGACCATAGACGATTTCATAATCCCTACGTAGCCCCCAGCAGTTGCGGATAAGAGTGACGGGGCGGCGGGGACGTCGGCCAGCAGTCTGCGAAGCTCTGGAGAAGCCCGCCGCAGGCGCTTGATTTTCACATATTGTACAACGACCCCGCCGCAGGCGCCGATTTTTTCGTTTAAGCAATGTGGGTGGGTCGCGGATGGGTCGCGGCTGGGTCGTGAGTGGGTCGCGCGTGGGTCGCGGGTGGGTCGCGGGCCGGATCGCGGGTGGGTAGCGGGTGGGTCGCGGGTGGGTCGCGGATGGGTCGCTGGCGGGTCGCGAGTTGGGTCGCGGATGGGTCGCGGGTGGGTCGCGGGTGGGTCGCGGGTGGGCTGCGGGCCGGGTCGCGGGGGGACGACAACAACAGCGCAACAACAACAATATCAACAACAACAACAACAACATCACCAACAACAGCAGCAACAACAACAAGAACAAGCATAATCCGCGCCGCGGAGTTCCTTTTCAGCCAAGCACCCAGGGACAGTAAGTGACCGTTCGGCCCCTTCACTCTGACCAGGCAGCATGTGGCATTCCAGC